CCCATGGTCTGTGTTCTTGGTCACAGTGCACAGCTCAGCAGGGACGGAGGCAGCGTTTGGCTGCGGAGATTCCCGGGTAGAGTGCTGGGCAGACCGCGCATCCACGCACCATTCACCAGCTCCTGGTGGGTCTGGCGCCTGCGAGGGAGCTTGGTGGGAGCAGGATGTTCACGGGTCTGTGCCAGGTCTCCACTGTGCTGGCTGCCACATGGGGCAGAGATTTACCCTGAATGGTCATCTTGGAGCTCATGCAATCCAGGTGGCAGACAGCTGGTGGACAGCGGCTCCCTGGAATTCCCGTGGGTTGTGGGAGAGGCTCTGTGATTGATTAGTGATGTCTGCCCTGGCTCAGGATGGGGCCAGGCCTCTCGATACAGACGGAGAAACTGGGTCTCCAGGGGGGACGTAGCTGCCCTGGCCCGAGCTCTCCCTGCGGGCACCGGTTTGTGTCTCTGGGGTCAGCCCTCCACCCGGGTCTCCCAGGTCTTGTGGCTCACAGGGGCCCTGGCAGCTGCCCTCAAGTCCCCCGCCTGCCCACTGCCTGACATGGGCACCCTGTCCCAGTTCTGTAGATGATGAAATCCTGCATGGCCAGCTGTGGCTTGGCTGGTGTCTACACACTTTACGGGTTGCTTCGTGTCGCCGCACATGCGGCCTGAGCTCCTGGTTGCCATCAGGCGCGTGACGGGGGCCGCTCTTGTCCCGCTCACTGTGCGTGGTGGGCCGACCGGCATCTGAAGTGCACACTAGGCCCGGGGATGTGTCCTCGGGCCTCTGACGAGGCAAAGAGCAGGCCTTCTGCGAGATGTACGCCCCCAGCCCCCCAGTAAACATCGTCTCTGGGGAACTGGAGCTGCCCGCACGGCTCTGAAGCATCACGCCCTTGCAAGCGGATGCGCTGCTGTCCATCTGAGTGGGAAATGTGACCACAGCTCAGGGCAGTGTCGCCTGAGGACACCAGCCGTACCACCTGTGCTGGTTGCTCACAGCATGTCATTCCACCCTGCAACAACCCTTGGAATTATTATCCCCTACAGACCAGGTCCATCACCGGGGGCCCTGCACAATGCCTTCCATCTTCCAAGCCCTCACAACCCAGCTCCCCAAACGTCTCCCTCCCAGGTGCCCCCTGCCCCAAGGCCCTTCCTCTCACCAGCTCCCTCCTACAGGGCCCAGGGCAAACGCCACCTCCACCTGGAAGCCTGTTCTCCCCTCTGAAGTCGGAGGGCTCCCCACAGAGTCCCACCCCTCTGTGAGTACCAGCTTCTGGCTCCAGTGTGGGGCGGGGCCCCCGGCCCCGGCACTGGGCGGAGACTGGATGCGGGGTGCCGTGGAGGTTATGGAGTAAATAGGTGAGGGTGGCGAGGTGGCTCCGGGGACCCGGGGATCTGTAGTCCCGGAAAACCACAGGTGAGGGTCAGTGAGAAGGGGAACTCGCGGTCATCAGCAGACTCCCAGAAACACCAGTTTCTGTGTTGTCTGGCCCCCGAGGAGCCCCACGTGGGCCCTGCAAAGAGAGGAAGCTGCAGCCTGGCATGTGCAGGGGCTGCCAGGGTGGGACACAGCAGGAGGCCTGGGGCAGGGGTGGGGGTGGGGGTGTGGGTGGGAGTTTGGGACGCTGGCTTCACCCCAGGCATGCCCTGCGGGTGAGGCTGCAGGCAGCAAGCAGGAAAGAGTTAAGTCCTCTGTGAGCGACTGGGAGAAAGAAGTGGTAAACAATTTTTCTCTCCCTGGGCTAAATTAATATGCAAATTCCTAAACCCCCTCCACTCCCTTCCCCAGCCTTGAAATTAGCGAGGTAGGATGCTCAGGCTAATTATGCATTCAAGCAGGCGGGCTGCTGAAATGATTGTGAGAAGATGGGATGACATTTGAGCCTGCCCCCTGCTGCATCTGGAGCCGCTCTCCTGTGCCGGCAGATGCGACCCAGCAGTGGCCACGGCCCCCAGGCTCAGGCAGGGCCTCAGGACTAGCGCCCTCCACACACTCGCCCCAGGCGAGGGGAGGGGCCGAGGGGAGACCCCATGCACTGTCCCTGTTCCCCTCTCTCCCGAGCCAAACCCCACATTCCCACCTGTAGGCAGCATCCCCCCGAGACCCCCGTGGGGCAGGTGCCCGGGGTCAGGCCTGTGGGCTGGGGGGCTGCAGTGATGGCTGCCACATGACGGCGGGAGTGGGCAGGGCGGTCAGTTCCGCTGGTGGACGAGGCCTCCGAGCGGGGCGAGCAGGGGTAGCTGAGCGAGACCCTCACCTCCAGCCCCCTCTCTACGGAGCTCTCGCAAGCTGCTTCGTATACTGTGGCTGTAGGTTCAACTTCATCCCCAAAGGTGTTTCTCTGCAAAGTGGGTGTCTGGACAACAGGGGAGAACAGGGGACAGGCGCCAGCGGTTCCCTGTCATCTGACAGTGTCAGCAGGAAGCAGACAGGCCCAGGAGCTGAAGGTGGGCCAGACCCCAGCCCCCCTCCTGGTCCTTCCTGTACTCTCAAGGCCCGGCGCTCTGCCCGTCAGCCCCAGCCCTCCCCACCCACCGCTGCAGCCTCCTCCACACACTGCCCCTCCCTCTCGGGTGCTCACACGAGACCCCTCCTCCCGGCCTCCACCTCGGTTACCCCTCCGGGCCCAGCTCCAGGTCGAGTGCCCGAGCCCCCCACTCCCTGGGCCACTTCTCCTGAGAAGCCTCGCAAAGTCTTGAGAGGTGCTGCCAGCTCGCCTCCAGGTCCACTGCAGGACAACACCTTGTGCTGGGCTCTGTGGCTCTCCTGGCACCTGGCCCTCGGCTCAGGGCTTGAAGATCTGGCCCGGGGGAAGCGGTGAACGGGCTGAGCGGGTGCCCTGCTCTGCCGGACACACTGGAAGCACAGGGCAGGGAGCAGCCATGTGGGGGTTTAGCGACTGCAGGAGGTTGGGAGGCTAGAGTGGGCAGATGGGTGGGTGGGCACTGGCACCCTTGCCAGGCAGGCAGGACAGGGACACCCCAGGGCCCGGGGCTGTCCTGGCTTGCAGAGGGGTGCAGACCCCCGCGCTCCCCCACCTGGAAGCGGATGTGTGCCGGGCTCTGAAGGGCACAGCAGTGGGCAGTGGACAGAGCCCGTGGGTCGTAGTCCTGGGGCTGTGCCGTGGGTCAGGTCACACCCACTGCGCTGGCCTCAGTTTCCCCATATGGACCATTGGCTTAGATGCCCTCCCAAGATCCTTCCTCGTGTACAGTTCCGAGTCCAGGGCCTTGTCATCCCACCTGTCCATCTGTCTGTTCATCCATCACCCCTTAAGTACCCACTGAAGGCCTCTGGGTGCCCAGTGCCTACCTCAGCAGCGGACGCACAGTTCCAGGGCGACCCTCTTCCCCACAGCGGAGAGAACACAAGTCGGGAGGGCAGAGAGGACCAGCAGGCAGGCGGACGCCCCCGCCCTGCACACCTGCCCTCTCCCTGCCCAGCCCGGGGGCAGCCCATGTGTCCAGAGTTAGAGTCAGGAAGGCAGGAGCACAGGCAGCAGGGAGGGGGGGAGGGATGGATGGGTGGGTGCGTGGGTGACGTCAAACACTGCTCAGATGCGACAAGGTATGTGGAGTGTGGTCCAGCTTTCCCTGACCCTGGAGGTGGGCACTTGCCAATCAGAGGGCCGTGGCGGCTGAGGAAGACAGATCCCCCGGGGGAGGCAGCACGTCTCGGAGCCTCCAGTGTCGCTGTGTCAATAGGAAGCTGCAGCTCTGAGCAGCCTCAGCGGTGATAGAGCAAATGGACAGGGGCTAATTAGGCCGGGGTGGAGGGGACCTCCGGTGAGGGAGAGCCAGGAGGTGGGGTGTCCTCGAGGCCGCCAGGGAGAGGGGCCCAAGAGCACAGGGTCCAAGGCAGGACTGGCCGCCTGCCCCACCAAGACTCCGTGAATATTTCATTAGGGGAGCGCTGTGCCGACCGCGAGTGGGTGGGACGCCAGCCTGGGTTCCTGCAGGAGGGGGTCCAGGTGGCCAGCCACACCTGAGCCCCCCCTGGACCCCACTCCTGACCCAGTGGTGGGTGCTGGCCGCTCTGAGCAGGGATGTCCGGGACGGGGGAGAGTCTGAAAAGCCGATCCTCTCGCTTCCCAAGCCGGCCTCTCCCGGAGGTGAGGGCTGCCCCCGTCGGGGTTGGGGCTTTGTCCCTCTGACGGTGATGCATGGCCCCAGTAATTCGCTGTGTGCGCGCGGCTGTGTGTTCTGGCGCAGCTGTTGCCCCCCACCCCCAAGCGATCGGCACGGCCAGGCTGCGGTGCAAATTAACACCATTTGTTCTGCAGAACATGCTTTATTTCTACGCTCCACACAGAGCTCATTACCTCGCGGCAGCTCCAGGAGAGGCGCTGGCCCCTCCGGCTCCTCCATCCCCAATCCACTGCCTGGACCAGGGAGGGCGCTGGTGCCAGATCCTTGGGCCGTGAACTTGGAAGGCTCGTGGGCTCTGGGAATCGTTTCTGAGGGAGGGTCGGGTGACAACGCTCAGGGCTCCCGGCCTGACACTCCTGGCAACTTCATTCCTGCACCGCCCAGCTGTGTGGCCTTGGGGAGGTGATTTGACGTCTCTGAGTCCCCGTACCGGCCTCCCAGGCAATCAGACAAACCAGTTGGTGAAGCTGGAGCTCACCTCTCAGTAAAAGGCACCGAGTCTATTTTGTTACTGTAGGTGACGGTTGTCAAGGTCAGAGCAGGCATTTAAGACACAGTCTCCACCCAGAGGCCAGGACAGGCGGGCGAGGCCTCATGCAGATTCGGGGGAGCTGGGCGGCCCTGGAGCCCCTGCATGTGGCGGAGTGAGCCCAGGGGTGGGCCGCCTGGCTCTGATCCAGGGCAGCGTCTCCAGGACTGAACGCTGAGAGCACGGGGGGGGGGGGGGGGGGGGGGGGGGGGGGGGGGGGG